TATAATAAATTAAAAACCCAATTAAATAATATAAAAATATGTGCCACACAGAGATAACTTATTCTACAGTTAAATGAAAAAGAAGTAATTGACAAAGTCTTTCCAGAAGCATTTTTGCCTTTGCTTTAAATGATATATGTAAATAATAGATCAAATAGGCAAGTGTATGTCAGCTATAAGAAAAATGAGGAAACACTAAAACATATACAAATAACGCAAATTCAAAGCCAAGCTCAAGGCAAAGTCGCTCTTATAGCTCCCCCTAGGGCCCCCTCATTTTCAATGCTCTCCAATACCAATTGTTCGTGAGAATCACCGAGTAGGGCAATTATGGAAGATATAGTTTTTCACTTTGATTGGTCTCGTAGTGTTTCAATGAGTGTGTAAACTCTACTCCAGCTGCCATGCGTTGTCTATTCCAGCCATCATCCGATATCTGTGTATATATCATTTTTCGCTTTAATTGAAGTCTTAATAGTATTTCCATTGGCGTGTAACCCCTTCTGCCACATTGCCTATGTTTACGCTAGCCATCATACGATATCTGTTTATATATAGTTTTGCACTCCACTTGAAGACTGAAGTAGTGATTCAATCGATGTGTAATTTGTTCAACAGCTGTTTATATAAAATATATATGCATCATATAGTGTATATACATTTTTCCCACGTCTATAACACTTTGGATTCTTACAGCATTTGTAGCGTTAGCTTTTTGATTACACAATTAATGAGATGTTGTGCTGCGATGTCTGCAATTAACTACCTGTGTAACGTAACGAGGTGCGCGAATGTCTTAGTTAATGGATTTTATAATCTGCACAGCAGTTGAGTCAGTCAGGCGGGCGGGCGGACGTACGGACAGACTTGACTCCCTTTGCTTTGAACACTCATAATTTATTTATGGTTTTCTGATTTGTTTTTTATATTATTATAATAATTGTTGTTATTGCTGTTGTTGTTGTTGTTGTGCTGTGTGCTGGTTTTCCGCGTGTTTAGAAAATCTGTTTCCAACGCCGCTCGCTGAGCCATCGCCAATTATGAGCCAAGCCAAATAGACAACAGCAAAAAAAAAAAAAAAAAAAAAAAAAAAACAAAAACAATAATAAGTAAATAAATAATGGAAATAAAATAAAAAGCCGTCGCTTTAACAGCCTGTGCACCTGTATCATAGAATTGTCGAAAGGCGAGTCTATCCCGCCACCTGTGGCCCGACACTTGTTTGTTTTATTGTTATTATTGATATTAATTTATGCAGCAGACATTTGCATTAGCATAAAATTAAGCTGGCTTTAAGCTTGGCCAGTTTGGCCAGCATGGCTAATTTAGTGATTCAGCCGTATTGTGTGGGGCAGCTCTATATGGACGCCGACAGGCTCAAGCCAAACCCAAAAGCCATTCGCTTTCCCATTATCATGATCATTAACATTCACATTTGGCCCCCGTTCCCCCTCCCCAACTCTGGTTGGGTCAGCAGCTGTGCTGCCCCCGCTTTGGATCTGCTGCCTCTGCTGGTTGGCTGTTTATTTATTTTATTTATAAACTTTGCCTGCCAAGCGCCGCCCACAAAACACTTTAACAACAACAACAACAACAACAACGCCAACAAATGCCGGCCGGCAACTTCACCAGTGTCCATATTTCATTGCCAGCGCTTTCAATTCAATTGAATTCTTTCGGCCCGCATTACGTGTTCCATGCGATTCCATTTCGTTCCATACAATATTCGCATCGATCTCTGTGAAACTTTTACTTTATTGGCCGCCATGGCGGCCATTTTGTTTAACAGAACGGAGCAGCGCAGATCTAAATGATCTGAGAAAGATATAGAAGATGAAGACAACAAAAACAACAACTTTTCAATAATTGTATCTGGGAGCAATGTGATTAAAAAAAAAAACAAAAAATAAGCATGGGAGACTGTACTTTCTGTGGGAATATGAGAAAATAAAACGTTAACAGCAGTGGGCTGTTAGCGATCTGCGCAGAGGCTGCTCGACTCGCAGACACCCTGTACTCGGTTGGACTTGAAAGATATAGCTAAACATCTGTTAAAGATAGATTAGATTAGATTAATTAAGATATTCGAAACAATATAGTAGGGAGGGCTAGCTTAGCTGGGGGCACATCTACATATAATATCATTTATTTCTTGAAGATGAAATTTAAGAAATGTTTAAAATTTGTTCGTATGTAATGTAAAATGTAATCTCATTATCATTAATTAATAATTATACGTTCCATTGTTGGCTTATAAAAATATCAGATTTTAAATCTTCTCAAGCATCGAAATTGCAGATTTCATGATTTCATATATATATATATATACATATGTATATTATTCCAAATTACCTTTGTATATGTCAACCTCTATATGCCACCAATATACCCTGTAATATCAGAGGTACCAAAGTTTCCCATTGCAGTTTGACTTTTACAGCTGAAGTCGACTGCAAATTATTGAATTTGGATATGAATTACGAAAGATATCTATATGTCGGTCGTTCATTTATCGTTTGAATCAGCTTTACAGGGTGTTTGCGTAGTTTATTAACGACAAGAACAATGACAACGTCTGTTAACTGATGACGAATGACACATTCAAATGACAACAAACAAGACTACAACATAATAAGAAGAAGAAGCCGTTGCCAAAGGCCACGGCCAGGCCATAAACAGACAACGACAGAGGCGGAGATAGAGAGAGCAATAGAAAGATTGAGAGAGAGAGAGGGAGAGAGAGAGAGCAAAAGATTTAATCGAAAAAGCGTGGAACCAGATTTGTTGTATGTGAATTCAGAGTTGGATTTCCTCTTTGGTATTTGTTGGCAGTTTCACAATTGAATTTCTAATAGGCTTAGACGCACACACACACACACACACACACACACGTGCAAGCAGGCACTTGGCATCGAAAAGCATTTAAATTTAATGGCAGTTGCTTGTACGCTTTATGGCCCACAGAGCAGGCGAGACGGGACCGGAGTCGTCGGGTCCGGCGTGCTGCTCTGCTATTTCAAAGTGCTTCAGTACGCTGGCCAGTACGCTCGCCATTCCCAGAAAGCGGAAACCCAGAGCAACAACAGCTAACAGTCCAAACAGAGCCATTAAAAATTTGTTATTTTTTTTTTTCTGCTTTTTCTGGCCAAGTGCAAAGTGAGCATTAAAAGCCATATACTCTTCAGCCAGCCCGCAGTTGGCGTAATCTTCAGCCATTGAAGCGACACGCAATTTGAGACGCACACTCACACTCACACACACCACACATGTAGCACACACTCACACGCATACATTTCTCTCGTTGTTAATGTCATTAAGTTCGGCGTACTTTTGTTTTTTCTTCAACTCTCTCATCGCATCGGTTAGTTCATAGTGGACTCGCATTTGCCCTCTGCTAATTGAATTAAATTTTAATTTGCCAAACGCATTAAGAACACAACCGAAATTCCATCTTAAGTCATCATTCAAGCACGCTTATCGCACTCAAACACTTCAAAACTTACATACGTCCATCAGTATTTTGTTTTTTCCCAAAAAAAGTGGGGTTTGTCTGTTCTGTTTGTCCGGTTCTTGTTTGCCCTTTCGAGCGGAAGTGCACGCCCCAAGGCTTACGAACTGCTGACCACGTAACGCCTGCAATGACAAACGATGACAAATTTCGAGGTAAATCGACTTGATTAACGAAAAAAGAAAAAACAACGAGAAAGCGAAGTACAAATTTTGCCAACCTGAGAAAAACAAGATAAAAGACTGTTTGCAGTTCCGAAAGTTAGATAAAGTGTTGCAGATAAAGGGTTTAAGATAAAGGACTGCGACTAGAGTCGAATATAATGGAAACCAAAATTAGATACAGGGATTACAATAGGAAGCTAAATGAAGCCTAAAAGAATGTATCTGCAGCAGCTATAGAATAAAGGAAGTCCAGTTCAGTTGGTTGTATAGTCTAAAACTGGTGAGAAGCTTAAGCTTAAAATTCATTACAAAGAGCCGGATTGAACACAGTTTCTAATTTGTTCTAAAAACTATATTAGATATTATTCAAATCTTATAGCAACAAATCTTATAAACATAACAGAATTTCAATAAATATACAGTAGTATACGGTTATAACGACTCCGCTTATAGCGTCCGTACGGTTATTGCGATGAAAATGTTGATCCCTAGACAAACTTAAATGAAGAAACTTATATGGTTATAGCATATTCAGGGTATAACGTCGTTATAATCTAATTCTACTATATACATTATTAAAAATAATATATTGCAATGTAGTATGTTATTTATATGTATTCATTTATATAATATATCCAAGACGTTAGGAAGTGCCTTGACAGGTTTGGTTAAGTACCGCACTACACTAATCTAGAATCTAGCATTTGAGGATCAGTTCTATTTCAACTTCAATCTGATCTTAATTGTAGTCGCTCGTTTGATCTAATCAAGGATACTTTTAATCCAGTCTAACTCCCAAACAACGGATCGATGCAGCTAGCTCGAGGCTCGAGCTCTAAACCCATTCAACATTTTGTGATCCGCATTGATGATCAGCTCTCATGTAGAGTACAATATGAGCATTGATAACTAACCTCACGATCTATTGTTTGCTTTAAGATCGCATTTAGATCCTAAAGGCTGCCCACAGTCGGCATTGCTGCAAGTAGCCAATGATGATTGGACTCATCTTGCTGCGGTTGCTCTGTCCGAATGTGGGGCACACGCAACTGTTATTTCTTGCATTTCAAATGGCGCATTGCGTAAGCAGCCCTTGCTCTATAGGAGAGAGGTGTGCGAGTGTGTGTGTGTGCGTGTGTGTGAAGTGCCATTCACGCATACGCTTAACACACTTCTGTCGTACGCATTTTCTATGCAAACGAGCGGAAAGGTGAGAAGAGGGGGCTACACGCAGTGCGTGTCCAAATGCAAAAAAAAAAAAAATGTAGGCGGCGAAGAGAGGGGAGGGGTTGGGGCGTTAGGTTGGCAGATCAATTGCGGACGCGGTCGCTGCTTTTAGCACGGTGGCGTTAATTGCCATGCCAAGTACGCGGCGGGCAAACAAAGTTGCCAATCGCTTCAGCACAGAGAGCGACTCAGTGCGAGCGAGACAGAGAGAGGGAGAGAGAGAGAGAGAGGGAAAGAGAGCGAGCGAACCATTCGAGTTGGTCAATTAGCTGCTTGGCCGCAATTGCAACAGTTCTCTAATTGATGTTTACCCTTGCCTTCTTCGCAGGACTACAATGGCGAGTGCCCGTACTCGCTGTCGCCCGTGAGCGCCAAGAGCCAAAAACTGCTGCGATCGCCGCGCAAAGCCACGCGCAAGATATCTCGGATACCGTTCAAGGTATTGGATGCACCGGAACTGCAGGATGACTTCTATCTGAACCTGGTCGATTGGTCGTCGCAAAACGTGCTCGCCGTCGGTCTGGGCAGCTGCGTGTATCTGTGGAGCGCCTGCACCAGTCAGGTAAGCGCAAATGCAATCCTCAAGCTGAACTGCAGTGCTAATTGGCTCACCTTCTGTCCATGCAGGTCACCCGCCTGTGCGATCTCAGTCCCGATTCCAATACAGTCACATCTGTGTCGTGGAACGAGCGCGGCAATACGGTCGCCGTGGGCACACATCACGGCTACGTGACCGTTTGGGACGTGGCAGCTAACAAGCAGGTGAGTAACGGAAGGCAAACGAGAGGGGTGGACAAGTGGAAGATGGCAACAGATCCATTGACTAATAGAGAACGAGTAACCAGTAACGAGTGAAGAGATGCAGGCAAAGATCAGCGAGCTATAGCTCATTTTAGGTGTATTATATGAGCTATATGTATTATATGAGATATTAGACGAGCTAAAATCATATTGACAAGATGAAGAGAAGTCATATAGAGAGCTAGCGATGAGTAAGGCGATCATAACTGTGGGAAATGTAGATAGAACCAAGCAGCGAGAGAGAAGCAAAAAGAAGCTTGTCAAGTGCGAGAGGGAATAAGAAGTCAGCAAATGAGTAAAGACCCCATGTCTGATAGTTATGTGTATATAGCAGTAGGTTTTAGGCGACGACTGGAGGTGACGAGTAATGAGTGAGCAGTAAGAGCTGTTAAGAGAATAAATTACAAGTAGGATTAGCCAAAGGAAAGATGTAATAGAGATTGTGTGGGTAACAACTGTGTAAAGCCTTAACTAATGAAATGCTCTGTTTGCTTGCAGATCAATAAACTGAATGGACATTCGGCGCGTGTGGGCGCACTGGCCTGGAATAGCGACATTCTGTCTAGCGGTTCGAGAGATCGCTGGATCATACAGCGAGACACACGAACGCCGCAGCTACAGTCGGAGCGCCGTCTGGCCGGACATCGTCAGGAGGTGTGCGGACTGAAGTGGTCGCCGGACAATCAGTATTTGGCCAGCGGCGGCAATGATAATCGACTGTACGTGTGGAACCAGCACTCCGTGAATCCAGTGCAGTCGTATACGGAACATATGGCCGCAGTGAAAGCAATCGCCTGGTCGCCGCATCATCACGGCCTGTTGGCCAGCGGCGGCGGCACTGCGGATCGCTGCATACGCTTCTGGAATACACTGACGGGCCAGCCCATGCAGTGCGTGGACACCGGCTCGCAGGTGTGCAATCTGGCCTGGTCGAAGCACTCGTCGGAGCTGGTCTCCACACACGGCTACTCGCAGAACCAAATTCTCGTGTGGAAATACCCGTCACTGACGCAAGTGGCGAAGCTAACGGGTCACTCCTATCGTGTGCTATACCTGGCCCTCAGTCCGGATGGCGAGGCGATTGTCACCGGCGCCGGCGATGAGACGCTGCGCTTCTGGAACGTCTTTAGCAAGGCGCGCAGCCAAAAGGAGAACAAGTCTGTACTGAATCTGTTTGCCAACATCAGATAGATTCGCTGCTCAGATGTGGGTGGAGGGAGGGGCGGCACGCTCGGACAAATCGAGCGTGCGTTGACTGAGCGAAGCGCCAAAGGCAAGCAACTAACCAACCAACCAATCAACCAACTAATCAAACAACGAATCAACCAATTAATCAGGCAATCATTAAGCTGGGGACTTCAGCCGCATCCACATAAGGCGCTATGTTGATTTAACAATGTTTACTAAATTTATGTTAAACTTAATTGTCGAAGTGTTTTAGATACTTCTCTCTATGTCTAAGTTTTGGGCCGGGGCAAACTTCTGGTAAGAATTGTGGATTAACTTTTGAAAGAAAACCAAAAATCAACAATGAGAAACAAAATATTTCGTAAATTCAACTAAATTTGGATCGGTGCAGCGCTATGATATCTATTTAAAAGAAATGAAATACAAGCCTCTAACTTAGTCAAATGATCCAATGAGCCCCCTCCTCCAACTGCTCTCTGGATGCTCCCAGAATATAGCTATATAATAGGTCCAAAAATTATAGTGTTTATGTCTTAAGTATGTATAGTGTTTATTAATCAATTCGCTAATCTTGATCTAATTGTAAATCTAATCCAAGAACCAGAACTGATAAACAAACTAAATGCAACAGCTCCTAAACTTAACTAATTGAAATCTAACATATATATACTAGATATAAATATGCATTTTTTCTGTTTGTATACTAAA